ACACTTTCACGAAGAACCTATTTCTGGGATACCGCAGTCCCATGTGGATCAGAAAATAGCCACAATGTAGTACAACTAAACCCTGATGAAAATAAATATTATCTTCTCACTCCATATCCCACATTAATGCAATCACTCAAAAAATTTTCACCAGAAAGCATTCGCGCTATCGCTCGAAACCCAAATATAGACTTACAATCAATAGGAATCTATTCAAAATCAGATATTCAACATCACATTAGAACACAACAATTCCAAGAATTATTAACACAAATGGACACTATACAAAGACAATCAATAGACCAAAATTTACGCAAACTTGCAGAAACCGCAGGATTTGCCGATATCTACACGCAAGACTATAGCGGATATTTTAAAGACATTAAAGATTATATATATCTAAACGGCGAAAAATACCGTCCCCAAGATATATCACCAATCAACATTTTTAGCTTTGTTACACTCAAGAATGAAATCCTTGATTTTCTAGGATGGCCCTACTACATCTTAGAAAAATTGACTATTTTATACGCAATGTTTAACTTTATTGGATTTCTTTTCTCACTCTTAAAAGGAATCTACAATACATGTGCTATACACACACAAGTAAACAGACAAGCAAGCGTAGCACGCATACTCTTTGCAGGATTTTTTGGAATTTTTTCCACATCTATAAACAAAATTCTTTTAGACGCACAAATAAAAGAATATAACACAAAAATAACAACACGACAAAATACATACGACGAAGAACATAACAATGTCGACACACAGCCAACGGCACCACAATTACCACCCCTACCAAATAACCATCCACTATCCCTAGTCCCACGAAATTTTCGACATTTAGCAATCACACATAATCCAAATTTTCGACTCAATACATCGCAAAGTCCCGTCCAACATATAATGACACATCAATCACAAGATGAAAATACTTATGAACAAATTATTGAACAGCCCCATACCACCGCTTTTCAATCTCAAAATAATAATTTTTTTAGCCCACGATGAGCCGCCAACTTGGATCACTACACCGATCAAATTCCCATCCAACCAATCTCACCTCTCCAATCCCAATCATACCACTTTTTGCTTTTCCGCCACCCGATTTTCCATCTAGCAATGTAACATCAGGCATGAATTCCGACACTAACTCACATATTTCAGTTTTATACTCCATCTCACAGCTAAATAACCCGAATATTGAAACCCCCGATGAGTTTGCCGACTCAGAACCATCTCCATCCAATAATTTTCATAACCCTTCTAATTTTTCTCAACCCCCTTTTCAACCCATATTGTCAAATAACCCTGACCCAATCACTCCCACACCCTCTTATGCTTCCCAAGTTACCCCAACCTACTCCTCATACCATTCTGACCAATCATCTCATTCTCCAGACACCCCCCGAATCTCCCCAGAACTAGATAATTTTATTACCCTCCAACAACAACCCTACCACCTTAACACCCCGACCATAAACCAAATCTCCTCCACTACAAATTCATCCAATCCCCCTACACCCTCTTCAAATTATACTGAATCATTAACACCATCATCCACATCCACTATATCTTCACTAAACACTAATAGAGCTTACCGCACTTTTAAAAGAAAATTCCCCAACCATCCTTTCCCAGCAAAACCAGGAACAGCCCGTGAATACATCAACCACCCCCAGCATACTAACACTAAAGAATTTTTAGCTATCACTTTACCCTCATTTCCACAATACACCTTAAACACCCCCCACGACGCTAACGAAACACGCAACTTTGTAGATGAATACGTTTTAATGCCCACTCTCTCTTGGACCTCATACTATCATTTCACTAACCCTCTTTGCTTACCTTTATCCAACACTTCCATCGATATAGAACGAAACAAAGACATGCTATATCGACTAACTACACCACTAACCGCTAGACAGTTTACTTACGTTGGATATAAAAAATCACTAAAAATACACACTGCACCTAGAGCTAATGAATATACACTAGAATACTACGATCACAACATCATCAGAGCTAACCAAGATCAATTCTTAGACGACGATCGCTTCGCTAATCCACAAATCACCGAGAAATTTTTCATCAAGACACCATATGTATTTACACTAAACATCTTCGACCGAAAGTTTGATCACATTATTTCAGAAGCACTAACAAACACACAAGCATACGAAAGTTTTAAAGAACGCTTCCAAATCTTTTCACTAACCTTTCATTTCCTTGCACCACACGAAAGAGATTTACACTGCTCACACGATATTATGTTGCGCACTAAACAAACACATACATACAGTTACTATCGTTTCATCCAAAATCACTTTGACCTCCACACACCCTCTAGACAACCACACCATCGTTTTCAATTCATCAATTCAAAATACACTTCACCGTATTTCCTAAATTTCACATATTGTATTAAAGACACTAACCTCCATGGTATTCTTCGTAATTATGACCCCATAACCCAAATGTACATTTTCTGCCCCATCACCAAGACCTTCAACGCCGAAGAATCCCGACCCTTCCTTATCCCGCACGAGTTCCTACAACCTATAGAAATCCCAATTTTAGAATTCATCCACAACACTAAATTTAACCACAAATTATATAACTTAATCCAAAACACACCTTATGAGTTTGCAGTAGGCACTGAAGAACTAACCACTATTAAGGCACTTCAATTGCTTTGGCCACTGCTTCAAACTAAAAATATCATCCGCATCTTAGCTAAACTACTAACAACTTCAGAACTAATTCACGACATCTTCCCCCACGGTTTTTTCCCCGACGACTAACAGGTAAGTATGAATTAAATGAATATTACTAACTAATTAAAATATTAAAAAACTCACCATACTTTAATCATGTTTTCTTTAGATTTTTAGCCTTCATCCTAGATCATCTGAAAAATTCACAAAAGAAAAATAAAAAATAGCAAACTTCTTCAAAACTGTTTAAGACCCTATTAAACTTTTGCACCAACAATTAAATAAATATAATACCAATGCAGTAAATTAATTTATAAAATTTTTCCCCAAAGCAGTAAATCTAATTATGATGAAAATTTGTATCTTAAAATTCCCCCATAACTAGCAGTAAATTTCCAAATTCTATGCAGTAAATTAATAAAATGCAATTGCAGTACTAACCTTTTGATATTTTCATTCATTCGCACAGAAATTCTATCCACACTCGCACAGCTCGCCCACGAAGAATTGTTTAAAATAATGAATTTCAGTTTCAAGTTTTCACACTCAACAACTCTAACATAAAATAACATGTTTCAAACTTTCCTTTAACCCGGTTGGAAAGGAATCATATACTAAACAAAACTAACCAACGCAGCTTACTAAATACCACAAATCATAGAATAACAGCATGACTAAGAAAAGGAAACCAACGGTACCCAAACCGGATTAACCCAGTTTAAAACTGGATAATTTATTCTTTTGAAGACTATTACAAAGTCTTAGAAAGAAATAATAAAACACAAAAAAGTCGAAAGACAAACCCATACCACAAACAATTTGATTTTTGAAAAAAGGACACAACCAACGAAACATAAGAAAAACCACAACAAACCCAACATAAAACGTTGTCACATAACAGGACCCCTCACAAAAACCGCATGAAATCATACTCCCACTCCTGGCCTAACCCACCAGGAAGGACGTCCTGAGCATGCTCTATAGCCGGCCTAACCCACCGCGCTACATCCACGCTTTGTGACCACACCTTTATTTTTAATAAGAGCTACTCAAGGGTGAGTAACTCTTCAAAATAACCGAACTAAAACAAAAAGCTTTTGTGAAAACAACTAACTAAAATCATTATTAAAAAATATTAAACTAATAAAAGTTTTATAAAATGTAAAATCACATGATGCAATATATAGATCAGAATACAACACCAAGGACGAACATCAAAAGACAAAACGACCCCACTACACTCGAGAGAGAATGACCAACTACAATCGATATGCCGCTCACAATCACAACTCAAAGGATTTAGAGTACGACTTGACTTCGCAGAAAAGGACTTCATTGAACTAGACCAATGACCACCTCGATGTTCAAGTATACGTACAGATCCGAGTAACCAGGCATCCCCTCCACGCACAATCTCCACGCCATTCCCAAGCTAGATCAGACACAAAAGAAGTTCTCCCCGAAGAACAGAAAAACCTGACATAGCCAACCATTCCGAAATCAGAATTGATTTTGTTGCAGAGACTCAGTCGTTGTCACAAGAAGAACACAACATCTTATGTCCCTAACTCCAGCTTCCTGGAACTTCCTTAACAAAAAGGAAACAAAATAAATATGATGTTCGCCAAATACCAACGTCCATCATCCACCCTTGAATTACAGAAGAACTGTTCTAAAAAACTCTGTAAAACCCGGATGGGTGGAACCTGATCTAAACTATATTTTATGATTGGATAAATTAAATGTTTTACCAATGTAAAGTATTTAATATTAACCAATCATGATCCATCTAACTAACAACCCACTTATTTGTAAGTGCTGAAGTTACTTGTAATTTCAGCACCAGAGAGATTTGAATTTAACTTAGAAATTAGTTGGACTCTCCCGAGCACTTCAGCCGCCGCAATAAACCAGTATACCCTAGATCTATTGAGCCTAGCAGAGACTAGTTAAACAACCTGAGACTAGATAGTATAAGAGTAAGATTAGGATCGGTATTAGACTAAGAAGTTGCACGAATCTATCCGGCCGAAAATAAGATAGCGTGACGAGCAGACGGTGTACCCTATCCGAAATTACTCTATGAGTTATACACTCCAGTCTTAACTCACCATCACATTTTAAAAACTGAAGCTTCGAAAAAATTGAAATATTATGCTTTTTTAAATTTTAATTTTCGTTGGAGTCGTCTTTCACTTCAAGCTGCTTTTTTGTTTCATAATTCGGTTTTTCGCTCCATTTGTTGAAGTTTAGTTTGCGATTGGATGATCTGTTTAGGATCTTCATCTGTGAGAAACTTGGGGAGAAGTACCGGGAGAACAGACAGGTGCCCTTCAAGGAGTCCCTGGCAGAATCATCTCCAGCCACACCCATATTCTTCATCCTATCTCCCGGTAAAACTTTATCCTCAGTATATCTAGCACCTGTTTGATATTTTGTCTATAGTTTGAAATCAATAATAGTTACTTTAAGTAATCTGAGATGATACAAAGTATCAATTGCAAGTCCGCATTTTTCGTCTTCAGTTCAATCTTTTGAAGTCAATGAACGCAGTGAAGACTTTTTTTGAGGTCGTGATGATGTTTGTTTGTTTTTTTTTTCAGGAAAAATCTTAAAATTCGTGTACGCAAAAGTTTAGTTTTTTGCGGTTTGACTTTTGATTTCTTTTTAAGTCCAGGTAATTTTCTTTGTTAAAAGAAAGAAAAACTCCACAATCGAACAGCAAAAGTGTAAAGGCTACGAAAAACCTGATCGACTTCTAATTTTGAAACTGGAAATCAATTATCAGACTTCCCAGCGACATAGAAGTAGTACCTATTGATCCAGTTTTCTCAAATTGGGTTAAATTTATCAAAAAGTCTCAATCATAAATTGTTCTCAATTTTCAAAGAGCTTGAAGGCCATATGTTTTTTCCTGGAAACTCGAAAGTTTTTTTTCTTCAAAAACTCGTTCAAAGCATTCACTGACTTAAAACCTTACTTGCATTCATTGACTCTTTTCCAACTGTCTGTTGGCTATGTTTCATTTGCGGTTCCTATTCGGTAATCGCCCGTTCTTCAAAAAGGTTCAAGTCGAAGCGAACAATCGAAAAATTGCTGGAATCGCAGATTAATCGTTTGCAATAGGAATTCTGTTACCATCAAAGATTTTTAGGTATTTTTCTTAGGTATTGTTGTTTACTTTTTCTTACTTGAATTTCCTTCAAGTCCAAAAGAGTGAAAATCGTCTGGTCGTCTGATTTTTTAAATAAAGTTTACTCCTTGGGTTTAATGAGCAAATCGAATAAAATAATTTGTGTCAGATGAAAAACGGAGTTTCTATGATCATATCAATTCCAAATTATGTGATGTATGGCCTAGGTGTGGACCCCTTGGTGGATGTGGAGGCAGCTGGTCGTAAAATGGGCTTCACTGGCAACAGGGGCAACTTTCACTCCATCTCCCTCGGACAGGGTCAGGACCTTCTGGCTGAAAATGCACTCAGAACAGCCGCTGCTAAAGGTACTGGCCCACGTGAACAATCCCCCCCCCCCCCCCCTGAAATTAAATGACAAGTTCAAGCAGTAAAGCCTGCATGTTCAAACCTGCTATGCTCAAACCTGAGTGCCTGAAAAATTCTACTTTAAGCATTAAAGATGTGAACTATCTGACCTCACTTTGATTTAGGGAAGAAATAGTTAATTTGGTCCAAAGTACTTGCCACAAAAATTTTTGTTGGAAATATTTCAAATAAAAACACAAGGTTAAGCTAGAAAATATAAGTTTAAAATTAGAAGAACAGCAATTTAGGAGAAAAAAATTGCACCTTAAAATTTCAAAACCTTTTTCGACCTGAATTGTTTTCTAAAATTTATCAAAGGCCAACAAACGCCAACCAAACATATGTAAAATTAAATTTCAAGGAAATTAAGGACTTATAACTTCAAAGAATTTTATTAGATATTTTTTTTCAGAAAATTGTTTTTTTTTCTAGGCCACTGGGTGGTTTTGCAGAATGTACATCTAGTGGCTGGCTGGTTGCCTAAACTGGAAAAGATGTTGAACCAGCTGAAAACTGGCGACGCTTCCCACCCACCGCACCAGGACTACCGCGTGTTTATTTCGGCCGAGCCCCCTCCTTCCGTCGAGTACCATATCATTCCCCAGGGTTTGCTGGAGGACAGTGTGAAAATCACGAATGAGCCCCCCACCAAAGTCAGCGCCAACATCCACAAGGCACTGGACAATTTCTCACAGGTAACCAAAGCAACATATTATGAGATCGAACCGAACATTTGAATGCAATTTCCGTTTGGGTTATTTGGGTGCATATGGGTTATACACTTTGAATCAGATTTAATTGCTTTTTTTTCGTTTTTATTCAGAGAAATGGTTATTTTTTGCGATGAGTTTGTTTGTTTAGGAGACGCTGGAGAATTGTTCGAAGGAGTCGGAGTTTAAAAGCATCCTGTTCTCTCTGTGTTATTTCCACGCAGTCGTCAATGAGAGGAAGAAGTTTGGGAGTATAGGCTGGAACAGGAACTACCCCTTCAGCACTGGCGACCTCACCATCTGTGCCATGATACTGCACAACTACCTGGAGGCCAATCAGAAGGTGCCCTGGGAAGATCTCAGGTACATACTGAAGGGACAGACTTAGGATGGTAGGGGGAGGGGGTCAGGGAGCTTCTTTCTTCAGGAACTCGACTCCTTGGCCCCCTTTTCTGTTTTCTACTTGTGGTCAAATATCCTATTCAAAACTATCTGAAGGCACCTTGGGTGACAATTAACATTCTATGTCTAAGAAGAAAAAGAAACGCAATTCCTAAAATTCCCCTAAAATGTCATTTATAGCTGCACAGAAAATTAGCGAAAAGTCTTTGGAGTAAATCTCGGAAAAACTAAATATTTGGTGGGCTATAATAAAAAAAAATCAACAAATAATTCATTTTTTATTAATTCACCTGTGCTTTCTCGAGTACATTATGTTGTGATTTGTTTTAGTATCTTAAATGACCTTCGGTATTTAATTAATACCTGTTAACCAATTTATTTACGACCATTGGTCGATATGATCGGAAGTTCAGTTGTTCTTTTAACGTTCTTAATTCAAATACTTCCTTTTAATAATTTTAGCCTTTTTAAGTTTATGTACAGTAATTGTACATATAGAGACATAGAATTAGAATAGTTTATTATGATGCAGTCAAATGATTCGAACGTGCGTGGAATTCCCCCTTTTCGGCCTAACCATACACTAGAGCCACCGCATGCCTGGACCCAATGGAGCGACCAATTCCAATTGGCGATCATTGCGAAAGAAAATCTGGATTTAGAGAGTCTGCATGGACCAGAGATACCAGAGACGCAAATTCCAATCTTGGAATAAGCAACAGGCAGCGAGTCGGACGCGGAAAAAGACAACAGAGAGAGCAGGAACAAAACGCGATGAAAAAGTATGAATCCGCCGAAGAGAAGCGGATCAACAAAGAAAAGAGGAAATTTAGGGGAATGAGACGAACGGAGGCGGACAAGAAACTGCGATCAATTTTATTTCTAGCCTTAGGGAGCGAAGGAAAAAGAGTTTTTACACAAAAGAACCCGAGAGTCAAGATTCTAGCAATATCGTTCTCCGAGTTCTGGACTCTACTAGACGCAGCATTTAACAAACCGCCCAACACTACGTTCGAAAGATATAATTTAATAAATCGAAAGCAGCAAGACCGCGAGTCGTACGAACAATTCTGGGGAGCACTGATGGACCTGGCCAGCACGTGCAACATCAAGGAATCTGACGAGGCGGAATGGATAAGGGACATCTTCATCTGCAATATGAAGAACACAGATACCCAGAGGAAGCTACTATCAGCAACCATAAGCCCGTCGGAAGCACTTAATCAAGCCCTAATCGACGAAAAGGGATAATTTAACCACCAGAAACTGACAAATATGTCACGGTCGTCGACCAACGGCACAACTTTTAAATCTTTTAATAATCACAATCAGATCAGAAAAGAACCGAGCCTAAACATCGAACGGAGTAACTCGTGAATGAAATGCGCGAATACATTTACAAAAGGGCACTTAAACGTTTGCCCAGCGAAGGACATAACCTGTAAAAATTGTAATTATAGAGGACACTTCGCCAAATTATGTAAGTCACGCAATAAGAGACCAACTGTAAATACTGTATCAGATAATTATGTAAATACCGAGAATTTTACATATACACCTCCGCAAAACTCGTGGATGGAAGACCAAGAATCGTGCGATGTTATAAATGCGTGGAACGAGTATGGACAGAGTTACGATGACGATTTCTTGGCGTTGAGCGTTAGAACTATTTACGACAAAAACGGTCTCGAAACAAAGAAACTCCTGAACCTAGGTATCGGCTGGGATATGATTGTAAATATGAACATACCTGTAGATTCAGCAAGCCCTGTAAGTTTTTTAAAACAGAATGTACAACACAAAATTAAACTGAGATACCCGAACCTCAAGATACAACCAGTGGAGAAAAGAATATAAGACCTATACTGCGGATTCACCAACGATAAGATCTATATCTTGGGAAAAATAATTGTCAGAACACAGTCCAATGGGTGGATCAGCAAAGATATCCCATTCTTCATAACCGGCGGACACGAGCGAAACATTCTGGGGAACGACAATTTACCCAAGCTGGGCATAAAACTAACACAGAGGAAATGCCCTCAACCAATCTGCATGGTCAATCAACCCACACTCGAGAGTGAGTACAAAAACTTACCTTCTTTATCTGACAAGGTTTTTAACGAGTTCAAAGATCAATTCACTAGAGTGGGGAAAATACCTAACGACCGAAAGGTAACTCATTTCCACTCATCTTTTAAACCAAAACAGTCCAAAGGGAGAAGAGTTCTACTCCATTTACTCGCGGGAGTGAACGAAGAACTAAAAAGAATGCAAACAGAAAGTCACATAATAAAACAAGAGAAATGCGACGAAGATTGTCTTATCAGCCCAGTTGTAATCACTCGGAAAAAGGATACTTCGATAAAACTGGCGTTAGACTCCAAGTTATTAAACGATCAAATTTTTAAAAATAAGTATCAAATGCCGAACATCCATGAACTGATTGATAACGTGGCTCTTCAAATTTCAGAAAATCTAACGGGCGAGTTTGGTTTAGTAATCTAGATCTGAAAAACGCTTATAGTCAACTTAAACTATGCGAACAAACAAGTAAACAGTGCAATTTTAGCATAGTAGCCGGTGAAACTACCGGAACGTATCGATTTTTAACGGGATTTTACGGATTGGGAGACATGCCCAATGAATTCCAACGGGTCATGGACTCACTGTTGAAAAATATCCCTTTCACAAATTGCTACATAGACGACATCCTGGTAGCCTCGCGTGGATCCTTGAAAGAACACAAATCAATAGTGTATAAAATTCTATCAATATTACATAAGAACAACATGGCAGTTAAATGGGGAAAATGCGCATTTTTTAACTCTGACATCAAATGGCTTGGCTTCAAAATCTCCGGCGATGGAGTACGACCGTTGGTCGGTAAAGCAGACGCAATAAAAAATTTGCCAACTCCGAAGAGTATTCCCGAACTACGTTCATTTTTCGGCTCGATAAACCAATACGTAAAATTCGTTCCTAACTTATCGACTTTAAGTTCCCCCCTTTGACCTCTACTAAACAAAACACCGGTCTACAAATGGGACATTAACCATTCCATAGCGTTTGAGAAGTTAAAAGCGGAAATTGTAAATATCACAGAAAACAGCCACTTCGATATAAAAGAGAGGACAAGACTGAAAACGGATGCTTCACATAACGGATTAGGGGCGACCCTAGATTAATTACAGGACGACCAGTGGAAAACAATCGCGTTTGCATCCAGATTTTTAAACAACCATGAAATGAATTATTCTACCAACTAATTGGAGTTGCTGGAAGTCGTATGGGCAACAGAACATTTTAGAAACTACCTGTACATAACGGAATTTCAAATAGTAACGGACCATAAAACATAACTATCAGCACTTTCGGCAAATCATAGAAACAAAACGTTGCATAGTCGATTGACCCGTTGGGTAAACAGACTTTTACCATTCAATTTTAAAATTTCGCATTTACCAGGAAAGGACATGGGCTTTACAGACCTTTTATCTAGACTTCCTTCGGGCAAAGCCCTTCCAATTTCCCATTATGACGACGAATTTGTAATCGCTTCTATCGACAAAATTCAGAACATTTCATTGAATAAACAATATTCTAAAATAGTTAATGTAAATACTGTAGATAGACCATCGGTCGCTGTGAATACTAATGCTCGAGTTACTACAATCCCGTCGGGAAACAAAAATTCAAACGACGTGATTGGTCAGAATTGGTTGAAGAGCTCGTTAGCTTTACTTAATCTCAAGATTATTGCTGCTATCATATCTTGTATCGCTCAGTCGATCAAAATTTGTCACAATCAACATTCTCGGACAGAAAATTGCACTACAAATTGCCAACCTGTCGATCATTCGAAATTTAATTTTAAAAGTATTACCTTTACGGACAACTTCCTTTTACATTTTCTATTACTAAACAGACAATTCATACCATCTAGCAAGAAACGACTAGAACTCCCAATGGATAAAGTGAATGAACCTCTACTGATCATCCCTGAAGAACATAATATCGCCCTCAAATTAAGAGACGATCGACTTCAACCCGACCACGCAGACCTCGTAAGAAGATACAAGGCTGCCCTAAACTTACCAATTTCCCCGATTCGCCCGAAAAATCACTGCTCAAAGACATTGCTTCAGATTATGACCAGGGAAGACAAGGTGCTGTCGGACTTGATTGAGACAAAAAAGAGGAAACGACCAATGGGCATACACGGAGCATACATGAAAAATTACGCCAAAGATCTTCATGTAAAGGACGACCTACTTTTCCTAGATAATAAATTAGTCGTCCCAGCTACTATCAGGGGAACTTTTAATTCGATGCTACATGAGACTCATCTAGGACAGTTTGGGATGAAATCCCTTGCCGAATACTTGTGGTGGCCGCACATTTATCGGGAAACTTACCATTCTGGGAGAACATGTAGCCAATGCCTAAAAGCTGGTAAGAACATTTAGGTGTAACTAGGCGCCCATAATATTTCGAAACTCCCGACGTTGACATTCGCAAACGAAGAAATTAATCTGGACTTTGCGGGACCTTTGAACGCGTTCTGAGGTAACAATAAATACATCCTTTTTTGCATTGACCGTTATACAAAGTTTCCTTCGGCCAAGATCGTTAAAAACACTTCTACGAGAAATGTAATTTCATTTTTAAACGATTACTGTCACCTACACGGATTCCCAAGAAAAATTAGTGTCGACCATGGGTCATGCTTCTTATCACATGATTTCAAAAACTTCTGCGATAAATTTAATATGGAAACTATTTACTGCACAGTCGGTGACCATAGATCCAATGCGCTAGTGGAAAGATTAGTGTACACAATTAAATCGAAACTACTGGCAATGTCCGTCGAATTACCCAAGCCGTCACTAAATGAATCGATCGAGAAAATCATTTGGATTTTGAGAATCTCGAAGCAATCCGCTATCGGCTGTACACCTTTTGAAAAACAATTTAACAGAGTAGCGAACACTAGGTGGAAAAATCTTATGTCCGATATTGACCATTTGGATAAAGGGAAAGCTATAATGTCCAAAGATCGGGCCCTTAACTGGGAACTCCACGACGGAACAGAAGATGGATATCTGGACGAGGAAAAGGACAACACGTCAGACCCAGAAGACAACCTGCCACTATCTAGGACTGTCACCCTAAATACAACACCGGACGACATTAATCAAACTTCAGAACCTCTGGCAAAAAAAAATCAGTAATGGGAGGTAACTTATATAGAAAGGTGTCTAACAGGAAAAATAGGGACCCATATTTTAATCTGGTTAAAAAGGATATCATCGATTCTTCAGAACACACATTAACCCTTGACAACGGTCACGTTTTACGTAAATCGGATCTGGCTATAAAAGGAAAAATACTCCCTGGGCCCAAAAAGATAATAGTGAATCAGACACCCACCGGGCATAAACTTCATACCCAAACGAGTTTAGCTGGGAAAAGGGAACTTTCTTCACCAAAGAATGCTGTATCGACACCCGCTGGACATTCGGGTCAAGGCACCTCAAGAACGTCCAACACTAGAGCAGGGACTGGTGCACCGACGGTGAGCGCGGCCACTCAAGACTCTTCAAGAATCTCTTCAGGTTCATCTTCTTCCTTAAACCTAGATTCGTGGGACGGGATAATCGATGACTACTTCGACGATGTGACCAATAACAATATACTTCAAAGCCTTCGTTCCGAATCTAACCAGGGCTTAAGTGTTATAGGTACCGTCGAATCTCCACACCCGAGCTCAGAAAGGTCAGCGAACACCGACCCCCGGGAGATCGCTGTCATCCACGACTCGACCACGACAGAAGGAACGCAAGACAATCCAATACTGGTAGACAGTATTCCGGAGCATACGGACAGCTCGACGATAAAGCCTCGAAATTCTAGACCACGCAGAAATGTGGGCCCCCCACATTTTTACGGAAATCGCCGCTTTATAGACGTGGTTCTGGAAAAAGACGACCCAGGGGTGTCACCTTCAGTATTCTCCTTGTCACCCGACACTCATAGGACTACTTTCACGGTCACTTCACCGTCCGACTTTTTGACACCACTAGCGGAGGCACATCCCCGACAAATTCTCGTTGCGGAAACGACGTTATCCTGGTCTTCAAAGAACTCCCTCCCGACGGTCAGACCAGTAACCTCTCCTACGAAGACTCATTTCCACGAAAATTCATCGGGCTCAAATGCAGCTTACAGGACCATGGGGGACCCCCCGCTCGAGGTGGACAACTGTAGCGAGATCTCCTCGACTATAGATTCAGAGATGATGGCTAAATTGGATGATTTTGACAACCAATTCAATTAATATACATATCAAATAAACTGAACAAAACAATTTTGAACCATATCTTACTGTCGGACTTTCAATTTTACCTGTAGATACAATTGTACATGTTAATGTACATGTTGTAGATTAGTTTTAATTTAGTTAGTTACTGTATCCTGTAAATTTTGTAATTCTGTATAGTCACCCTGTACATTGTACATTCTCTCTCAATTGTGGATTCTATTTTGCTTCTGTATATTTACCTTCTTGGTGCAGTTTGTAAAATTTGTTCATTCTCGAAGGGGGAAAAGGGTGTATATAGAGTTATGTAGTTAGTTTGCAGTTTTATTTTTTTTCCCGGTGGGAAATGTTGTGATTTGTTTTAGTATCTTAAACGACCTTCGGTATTTAATTAATACCTGTTAACCAATTTAGTTACGACCATTGGTCGATATGATCGGAAGTTCAGTTGTTCTTTTAACGTTCTTAATTCAAATACTTCCTTTTAATAGTTTTAGTCTTTTTAAGTTTATATACAGTAATTGTACATCTAGAGACATAGAATTAGAATAGTTTATTACATCACAGGACCTACATTGCCGTCAAAGCTATTGAAAAGCAAAAAATTATCAAGATAAGATTTTCTTTGTACATTCTTTGATAATTTTTTAGGTTTTTTTCTTAGAAATGCACAAAAATTTCTTATAGAGTGCCATAAATTTTGTCGACAAGTATGATCAATTATCTAATTCGCTACTCGAAGGTGTCAATCCTCCAAAAATGAAGCCGTATGAACATCAATTTTGTTAAGATATCTGTTTGGAGAGATCATGTACGGTGGCCACATCACAGACGACTGGGACAGAAGACTGTGCAAGACCTACTTGGAGGAGTACATGGGCCCAGAACAGGTACCAACAAAACACAGAGCATGATAGAGCAGTGAACAAACAATAAGTTTTACATATTTTGCCCCTTTTGAATCTTTTTACTTAATTTGCTCATTAGGCTAAAAGCACATCACTACTAAACTAAAGGCGTTGTTCAAGCCATATGCTGGAAGCCTTACTCTATTTCAATCATCAGATTGAAGTTTTTTGTTTCAGGTTTTCATATCGTGAAAGTTGAGATTTTGTGCGGCTTAAGAAGAATGAGTTAACAGACCCACCCGCACAGGAGTTTAACCATGAAACTCATGTGCGGGTGGGTCTGTTAACTCATTCTTCTTAAGCCGCCCAAAATCTCAACTTTCACGATATGAAAACCTGAAACAAAAAACTTCAATCTGATGATTGAAATAGAGTAAGACGCCCAGCACATGGCTTGAACAACGCTTTTAGTTTAGTAGTGATGTGCTTTTAACCAAATGAGCAAATTAAGTAAACAGAACCAAATGGGCCAAATAAGTGAAAAATTTGGTACTTTTTATAATCGTCTATAATCAATTTTCTTTGGCTAAAATGTTGTTTAGATAATCGATTATCGTGGCAAACTTAAACCACGCAATGGATTTTGTATCCATTATAATCGAGTATTTTTGGACAAAAAAAAACAATAAAATACATAATAAATGATTCAAATTCATTTTTCTTGTCAATATAATAGATTATTTTCTGCTCATAAAATGCATGAAAGCTTTTCTATACTTTTTCAGATTTCTGCAAAACTCAAACAAACACGTTTGTCACTACCACTTTACCTACCAATAGCAATAGTTTCTGCGTGTAAAAATCAAACACGTAGCTATATGTTTTTTTTACAGGATTTTTAAGCAATTTGCGGTTTTCGCCTACTTTTTTGGCTTAAAAATATGGATTACCTAACAAAAACTTGGGATCCGCGAGAGCAAATTCCTTGCTCACACTGATACTTTTCTTTTATTTTCATAAACTGTTCTGGGTTCCGCAAACTTTGTTACGGAGTGGTATTGTCGCGCTCCGGTAGTGATGGTGCCCAGCAATCATATGATTCCTGGTAAAAATCGCACGTGCGCTACAATTTACAAGTTGCGAGCTCTTGTAAGTAAGTCATAGCTTACTATGGGCGCAGATTATATGCGCTCTTCGTCAACCTAGATATATTACCTTCGTGTTAGGCCTCCGGGCTGGTTGACTAAAAAACCGCAAACTTTGGAGCGATTTGAAGCTATACAATGTTTTGACCACTTGTCTGTTTATTTCAATTAGCAATTCAAAATGAGTCTTTTTAAGAAAATGAAGATTGTCTAAATGAACATGGTTGTCGTACAATAGTACTAAAGGCAACCAAAAATAAGTGAGGGGCTCGCCATCTCCCACTAGGCACGGTTTTGAAACAAGAATACCCTGATGTAAATAGTCTGAAGCACAAATTTTTTTAGATCAGTTTTTTTATGCCGCTTTTGGGAACTTTTTTGAAGGTTATGACCCAAAAGTTACTGTTTGTTTTCGGCGCGCGGTCCACTTCAAAATTAGTTTATATTGGCGCCAAAGGCGCCTTTACAAAAACTTTAAGATAACCTACCAAAAATGAATACCGTAAATTAGTGCTGGAAGAGACAGAGACCTTGTGGGTGGTTAGAAGGTCAAATCTCTGAGTCGTTAAAGCACCTAACATCCGTCTTTTTCATCTATAGTTTTTTCTTTCTCCATGATTGGCCGAAACAATGTTTTTGGCGTTGACCAGTGACTTTTTGAGGACAGGCTCGCTTAAGATTAATTGAATTTTTTAGTTTTTGAGCTTAGGAAGATGAGTTGGGGCTTTGAAAGAAACTGATTAATTTTCACGTAGGTCAATAATGGTACGATGCGGCTTTTAATATTTTTGAAGACTAACATGATGAACTAAAAAATGTATGATAATTGATGGCCCTGTGATTTCAGTTGGATGGTGATCTGAATCTAGCCCCTGGATTCGCAGTGCCAGGCAACATGGACTATGAGGCCTATCACAACTACATTGACGACTCCCTTCCCCAGGTGCGGTGAATCTGATTCAAGCTTATTTGATCAGTTGTTGTTTTTCTGATGTTATGAGCACGAAATGTTACAGCTTTATACTTTTTGCTTTTGTGAAGCAGTTGTTCGTAAAACTGTTCACTTTCTTGTTTTGCTTTCTCAGTTGACTTTTTAGAATCTCACTTAAATTGGTTTCACTTTGGGGATTTATGGGAAATTTCAGCCCCCCCCCCCCCCCTCCGTCTCTCAGTTGAGCACTACACCCCCCTTCGTGAATATCCAGCAGGTTTTCAGGCATCTTGTGAGTTTTGTATTTTAACAGGAGAGTCCGGCGCTGTATGGTCTGCACTTGAATGCGGAGATTGGGTTCCTGACGAGTGCTGCCAACAGTTTGTTCGGTCTGGTATTAGAACTGCAGCCCAGAGACACTTCTGGCGGCAGCTCCTCCTCCGCTAGCATGGACGGGCCACAGTCCAGAGAGGACATTGTTTGTATAGATTCTATTTAACATAACTGAGGTTGCTGCAATTAGCAGAAGATCTATGACGGCCATCTGGCCTGTCTAAAGATAGTCAGTTTCTATCCCTACAACCAGACAGAGTCATTTTATGGAGCGAAGCTGTTTTATGCGGCTCAAGGATGTTTTTTTTTTGCTTTTTTCACGTTTTGTAGAAAAAAACATTGGAGCTTGAAACATCTCAGCCTAGATTTATTATAAATTTTATAAGAATTCATGCTTTTCGTTTTCATGGCTCCGCCAATTAAATAAGCTTAATCACAGGAAAATGGCTATTTGGAAGTATAAACGTCGTTTTGTGTTTAAAAATTTGCTTTGTAAAAACTTGAAGAGTAATCAAAACGTGAAATAATCAAGTTATTTCATTCAACTTCTTAGTAATTCTCAGAAACTCCACCATTTTCCGTCAGAGGTCATCTGTCCGATTGAGTTTATTAGCACAGAAAAAACTCGAAGAATACTTTTCTCTATTATTCGAAAACAGAATTCAGTTATAGTTAAGTCATCTGAATCACAATGGTGTTTTATAGTGAAAAAAAGAGAAGAAATTGGTTGTTTTTTTTTCTGTCCGATTCGTTAATTCCATGAACACTTTAAACTGTTTATTACCTGAATTTAAATAAAAATTCACTCTAGTCAGATGAGTGCTTGCGTTCACCTCAATTGAATTGTCGGAGTTATCTTTCTCCCTCTGCAGGTGTTCCGCACCGTGGACGAAATGCAGGAGCGGATGCCAGAGGGCTTCAAGATGGGGGAGTTGATGTCGAGGGATAGCAGTCAGAGGAGTCCCTATGAGGTCGTCTGTCTCCAGGAGTGCGACAGGATGAACGAATTGGTGGGGGAGATACAGAGATCCATCAAGGAACTCCTCCTAGGACTCAAGGTCAGAGACTTCAACTGGGTCTGATTGGTTGGGGGATGCTTATACTATTCCTCCTGTTGCATAAGAGGGGATGGGGGGGGGGTGAAAAAAATTCTACCGCTTTCAAAGACAACAGTTAAGAATAAATATAGAAACTTGTTCTTTTTGCAACATATTGATATGTTGCAAGGTACAGTTTCGTAGTATATGCTTAAGCATCATTAGACACAATTGGTAATTATTTGGTGTCTTCTGAAAATGCGCTTTCATAACTGCATCTTTATATTCACTTTTAATTCAGAAATATTGAATATAGTTTCAAAATAGCGAAGAAGTTTCTTGTGACATAATCTTATGAAGTTTCTAGGAGCAGACAGTTTAGATAGGCAATACTAAATATGTGATGGAGTCCTGTCATGTGACGTTTGTTTTGGAGTCGGGTCGTGTCACCTTTGTTTTACCATCAGGGTGAGCTGACTATTTCTTCTGCTATGGAAGACCTGATGAACAGTCTGTTCCTGGACAAGGTGCCCGACACCTGGCAGAGGTATCCCTCCAGTCTGGGACTGGGTGCCTGGTTCAGTGACCTCCTCCTCAGATCGAGGGAACTGGAGATGTGGGCTGTGGACTTCACTCTGCCCAGCAGTGTCAGTAGAGTTTTAGTATTTGTCTTTTTTACGTTTTGCTTTTAGCCTATTCGTAGTTATTTATTAGAAATCATTTTTTTAAAATTTTGATTTGTATTTTTTTTAGAGAAAGCCGAAAAGTTTTACTATTGACGTCCGCAATCCAATCGTCACAGCTGTGATGATAATTCATGTCTCTCGAGGGGTCAAATTGGTTTTCCAAATTTTCCCAAAGTTCTCATACTTACATAATGCACCCAAAGAATTTATTTTGGGTTGTTTTTGAATATTTTGCTGAAAGATTATTAACAAAAAAGAGAGATTTTTTTGAAGATAATTCATTGAACTGCATCAGGATAGTTTAATTTTTCACGCATCATCATGTTGCAGTTTTTATAACAAAACAAGGTGCCAAAAAATTTGGACCAAAATAAATGAACTGTACTGTTTAACTGTGTGTTGCTTGTAGGTGTGGTTGGGAGGTCTGTTCAACCCTCAGTCTTTTCTGACAGCCATCATGCAGCAGACGGCGAGGAAGAACGAGTGGCCCCTGGACAAGATGGAGCTGAACTGTGACGTCACCAAGAAGAACAAGGAGGACTTCTCCTCCCCACCCAGAGAGGGCAAGTCAAGTCGCAAATTCATAAATTATGTCTTTTCGGGATTTAAATATTGGACCATGACCTGCTTTATTTGTTCAAGGCCTAGACTATATTTTCGAGACCCGTAAAAAGCAACCATTTCATGAAAAATTGGTGGCATGCAGGATTTTACTAAAAATATTCAAGCTCAGTTCAGATTTTTAGATACGGTTTCCACACCCAGCCATCTTGATTTGTTTTTAAAGAGTTATACTGAGTTCGAAATAAAATAATTCAAGCCATTTCGCAAGAATAAGTTATAATCAGCGACCAATGTTTTCTAACATCTTCGGATAATCACTTTGAAAAATGATACTTTTGCTGATCGATTTGTATAAACCGTTAGTTGAAAGCACTAACAAATATTTTTGGCTCCTCGCAGCGAACCGCTCTTGTGTCCCTGATTTAGAACTTATTTCACAATTTTTGTTAATTCTCTAAAGCCATCTTCCAATTGGCCAGAATAATGAAGTTAATTCAGTCAGTTGGTGTTGATGAATGCGTTGCTGTGAGAATGTTTGTTATTTATAAACCATCACACCAATTAACCTTGAAAAGAGTAAAAAAAGGACAAGTGAAGAATTAAAGAAGAATTATTTTACCTAACAGAGATTGTTTTATCTAAAAAGAGAAACAGTTAACAGTTGTGTTTTTAGGGTCGTATGTGAATGGAGTGGTGATGGAGGGTGCTAGATGGGACACCCAGCTAGGATGTATATCTGAGTCTAAGATCAAACAACTCACACCACCCATGCCAGTCATGTATCTCAAGGGTAGGTAGCACACACTATTTTTCCCTCTCTCTCACACACCTTTTCGCACAGACACCCCCTGAAGAAAAAGCCAACTTATTCAACGAATATTTTAACTCATTCTTCATGACCAAAGAAAGCTTCGCAAAAAAATAAAATGTAAACAAAAACGACAATTCATCAATTTTAAGTAACTTCCCCGTCTCAATCAATGTAATCAAAAGTCTGAAGTTGACAAAACCAAAACACGAGGCCCAAGCGGCATGCCACCCAGTTTCTTCCATCGTACAAGAAGTCAAACATGTAAAACTCTCAACAACCTCTTCAAAATGTGAAGCGCCAAATGAAACTCACAAAATTATGAAAAACAGCCACAGTGGCTCCTGTATACACAAAAATGACCCTGAAAATATTGAAATTGCAACGATTGAGTGATCCATTCAGTCTTGATGATGGTCTAAAAGTCCTATCAGTCAATAAATCTACAATGTGACATGAACAAATATGAAAACTGGGTCAAATAAAATGATAGGAATATAGCGACAGAAAAATACACTCAGAACAAAATTCGATGAAAATCCGGAGCGTCACATATACTTTTACTCAACGAAATCAGTCATCAAACATCAATGATCTAGTTTTACTTGTAAGACTTGAGTTGGAATACTCACATTAAAGAAATAAAGACTTTATAATAAAACGAATAAATTTTTCGACTGTTTTTGAAGTAACGTTGCCTACAATGTCAATATCTTCGTAAAGTTCGGATTATAAAAACCAATTTTTACTGCCAATCTTATTCTATGAATTCCAATGTTCGGTTGCGCTGAGACAAAACACTAGAAACTAGAAGCTTTCCGGAAGAAATTAGATGTATGAATCTGTGGAAAATTACAATATCAACAAAGTTATTCAGACCAGCTGCATTTACTCATTCTCTTACCGCAACCACTTTACATTCAGATAATTGAACTTCTACTTCTTTTGAAATTTTGTGAAGAAGACGGTAAGTACTTTATCGCTATTTTTTTTCATTGACGAGCAACAAACTAAAAAATAGAAACCTTTGAGCTCAAGAAAACGAGAACCGAAAAGACAAGAACCGAATTTAATTTTCGTGCAGCCAAAAATGCGAACCGAATTGATTATAACGTGAACTTTCGAAATCCAAATTCAAGCCTTAAAAAATGAAAAGTAGACGTCAAGCGGAAACACGCCAACGAACGATTATCAAGCAGCAACTACGTGCACATGGCAGCTATGCTGCGACTTTGCAAGATTTCGAAACGTATAAACAATTTTCTAACAAAGTAAAAAGGGTTGAATATGCACCCCGGTAATACTAGGAAACCAAAACAATAACATCAACAGGCATGCTCACCCACATTCTCGCAGAAAGAGAAGCTTTTTAAAAACAGCATTGCAGACCTTCAGACCTCGACTTGAAGAATGATCAGCTGTTGATCTAGAATGTAGCGGGCTAGGTGGACTAATTTCTTCCAAAAATGTGAAAGAGTGAACTTTTTTGGCTGAGCGAAAAGTTTTTGTTAGCCGTTATGAAAAATTTGAAAAGGTGAGTTGTTGTTTGGTTAGTTTTTCGCTGATGTTTCTGAATTAAAATTTGAAAAGGTGAGTTGTTGTTTGGTTAGTTTTTCGCGGATGTTTCTGTATTTGCAAATTCGTTATTATTTTTACTCATAAAAAATATTAATTTTTTGGCGCAAGTTACTCCTGAAAACAGTATGGATGGTGCCAAAGGTTCCTGCTTAGGAAAGTTTTAAGATTTTGTCAATCAAAATTATTGTGTTCTTGATAAGTACCAAAAAGAGATTCTTTTGAGGTTGAACGTGACTAGTTTGACATGTTGATTTATTTGCGTTGTTTAGCTGTGCTGGTGGACAAGCGGGACCTGAAGGGCACTTACGGGTGCCCCGTCTACAAGACTAAACAGAGGGGTGTGCTCACTTATGTATGGACATTCCACCTCAAGATCAAAGACCACCGCGCCAAGTTAGTCACGCCTTTTGTCACCTTTTCCATCAAACCTCATTCATGTTAAGGTGTTAATGGGCGAGCTTCCACTTGTTTAGGTCGGCCCGAGTCGAAGTTTCCAGCCCATTTTAAGCAGGATTTGAGCGGTTTGAGTACTTTTCTGAGACGATTGCGCCCAGAATCTTTCTTTAGAATGAGCTTTTTGAGCGCTTTTTGAGTGGTTTAAAGCTGTTTTTGAGCTGTTTTCTAAAAAAAATAAGGAGCGGTTTTTTATTTGACTTTTTAGGAGACTTAATGAACCTTGACGACTGTTTTTTGGACCCTAGAACACTTTAGAATGGTTTTTGGCTCATGTTTTGTTATTACAGAAGGTTAGAAGTTCACTTTGAATGGTTGATTGTGTGTGCCCTGCAACAAATACATCAGGAGAAAACTTTCGCGATGAAGTTTCAAAAATAAACGCTCAATTTGAGCGGTTTAGATGGTTCCTGCAAGGATTTGAGCAGTTTAGATGGTTCCTGTTAGGATTTGAGCGGTTTTGAACAGTTTGATCGATTTTTGTGAGGATTTGAGCGGTTTTTGAGCGATTTGAGCGCAATCGTCCAAAAAAAACCGCTCAAATAGCTCAATACTTGAGCGGCTTTTGAGCGGGATCTCGACTAGAGGGGTAATCCTAAATTAGAGGAAAATGGCGCTCTACGTTGAATAAAGTGCGAATAAATGGAGAGTGATGTTTATCTTTTATTCTGCAAAGTGGACTTTATTTCTTAAAATTTCCAGCTGATTAAAAAACTGTTAACCAGTTTGCTTTTCAAATTTAATTTTATCTTGTTCATGATATGTTTATTTTTTTTGTGCAGGTGGATACTTCGCGGCACTTCCTTGCTCCTCAATCCCTGAAGTGAACTAAAGAAGTCACTGAAATGACCATCAAGTGAAACTTACCATGCTTCAACCATACGTTTGGTGGACTAGAAAGTTGTAAATGTTAATTTGAATCAGCTTTTAATGTAGACATTTGAAGTTGGCGTGAAAAACATTAGTGTTTTGTTTTAACCAAGTGTGTACTATTGTGTTGCTGATTATTGATTTAAATAGTTTGAAAAAGAAACCATGTTTCATGGACCAATTAAAGAGCTGATTTGTTTTTAATTCAATTTTGTATAATAAACAGTGATTTCATTGTTTCAACAAGACGTCGACGTTGAATAGATAAAAGCAAAACTTAAGCAAAAACATTTAATTAAAAAACATTTTACAAAAAAGGATTTGAAAAAATTTTCCAATAAGTATCATATTAGTTTCAAGGAACAAAGTTGAATTTAACTTATTTGGGTTGCCTGATCTTTGTGATTTTTCCCAGAAAACATCCCTAAATTATATGCGCATAGTTTTCATTTTCGCAATTTATTTGTTCCAGTAATCGAAGCTATTGCCCAAATAAATGATCTTTTAAGTGTCAATAAACAGGGTTCAGGCACTTATTGAGGTTTTGTTGTTTTCTTTGTTTTGTTTTCAGGAAAAGTCTTGAAATTAAATTCAAGTTTTTGGGAGGCGGAAATATCGTAGTGTGAAATTTCGTAGTCGAAATTATGATTAGGTGTAAATAAATTGATTAACATGTGTGACGGAAGTATACCTGATACTGACGAAGAAAAACTTGGCTTTTAAAATGCGGTGATGTAATTTTGTAGTTATTCATACCAATTATTTTTAATTTAAAATGTTCAGTCTTTTGAAAAATTCAATGAAACGCATAAAATATACAATAATTTATTGCTTGGTTTAAATACTACGAAAATTCCCACTACGAATTTTCACACTACGCTATTTCCAACTACGTTATTTCGTACTACCCCGGGTCGACCAAAACTTCTTATCTTCTTATCATACAATTTACATGTATGAAAAATTTCTTACCATACAAATTTTTCCAACTCGATACGTACAGAAATTTGTTTGAAATCTCTATGATAAGCATTTTTCCATATATGAAATTTGTTTGGTAGGTATTTTTCCATAAACAAGAAAGTTTTTTTTTTCTAATTTTAGTTTCTGAAAAATTTTGGGTTGTGTTTGTCACAAAAGGCAAGTGAAGAAGACCTTGGTTTACTCAGAGCAATAAAGGCTGGACACTGGTGCATTCACAAAGCATGTAAACGACCTGAATTGTTTTTCTGCTGGTATTCACAATGATATAACGAAAACAACAAATTTTTAATTTTTGGCGAACTTTTTCAAAGATGATCATTTGTAAAGTTTGAATTATTAAATCATCAGACATTGATCAAGGCGTAGATGAACATGCCATGCAAAGGAAATATGAGTTTTCAGCGATTTTGAAAAAAATTATTAGGCGAAAGGAAAAAACTCCAGCATTAGTGTATCCTGGACTACGTTATGCACTCAAAAACAGCTATGCATGCGCTCATTCGATTACCACTTCTAATTATGATATTTTATGTTGAGGTTGAAAATTTTAATTTCAGACCAATTTGCACTACGCAAGCTGGACGACTTAGAGATTGCGGCGATTTAATTTACAGATTGTTTCAATTAACTTGTACTTCTTGTTTTTTTTTCGCGATTTTTTAACTTGTAACTTAATTTTTCGCGATTGTTTGACTTGTGGTTTCTTTCAAAGGAGGTTTTTGAAAAAAAAATTGTTACTAGTTTTTATTAACTTCAAAACTTTTGTAATATTTCTCTTTTCAAACTGTATGCCGCTTTCTTGGTAAAAAACGATTAAAAAAAAACTTGAATTAATATCGAAAAAAATTCTAAATAGAACAAATTAGGTCAGAGGTTAATGAATCATACATTTCCAAGCTCCGGTTCAGAACGTTTTTTCTCGATACCGAAACTTTTTTTTTCAATTTTTTCTAATCCGAAATATGGTTGAAAAGTCTGGGTCTTATGCGTTAAACGGCCCAAAAATCAAAATTGAAGCAAAATGAAAACTGAAACTGATCCTGATTGGCTAATATTAGCCAATCAAATTCGAGCAACTATGTCAGCCATTTCGATTGATACTGAGATTAATCCTGATTGGCTCGTATAATATGTAATAACTGAAGCAATGTATGTTGATTACGTGTTTTCAATTTGAAATAAAATTTCTGACTATTTTCCTAATTTTGGGCCGTTTAACGCATAAGACTCAAAAGTCTTTTATTATGATGCATCAACAAACTCCTCGCCAATTTATGTTTGTGTGACCTGATTTTGCTTAAATATCACCGTAAGTCAAATACGCCACTTTGTACTTATCATATTGCCTGGCGGGAGGTGGCCCAGTTTTTCATTTTTTTCGAAATTTCATTTTTTTTCTTAATCTAAAACATTTTTGATAGGCGCTAAAGCAAAAAGTAGAAACTTATAGGACTTTCGCCGTAATACGAGCGCTCTTTTCTAGTTCACAAAGATTTGATTTAAATTGTAAATTGATTATAATGTGCATGACTACTTGATTATAATGTGCATGATGCGTCATAATCACTGCAGTCCTTTAATGAATGTCATGTAGTCTTCCATGCTGACTTTGCCGTCTCCGTCTAAATCTGCCATCCTGATCATCTCAGCTAAGTCTGCGTCATTCACTCGCTCTCCCAGAGATAGAAGAAGCGCCTGAACAGAAATCGAATCAAGAGTTATGCGAGGCAAAATGACGTAAATTCGATCTCATTGTGGTAGAGAAGCTGTCAATCATCAATTTAACAACCTTTTGCCTTTTTTAAATTATTTTTTTAATACCAAGAAAAATTAAAACTTATTAAACAAGTTCGTATTATTATTATTGGAAACTTTAATTTAGAGCATTTTTTTTGCTCCAATACAAGTGTGGGAAATTCAATATCAATTTTGCTTATATTTTTTTTTCAAAAATTGAAGTTTCAGATACTAAGCTTTTTTCATCTAATTATCCTTCATATTATTTTTCAGACTTTTTTGGTGAAAATAACTTCATCCAAGCAGATCTAAATTTTTCAAAATATCAATAAATAACTACTTGGCGGCAGAGCAGAAAAAACCTAGCATATCCAAGGGGAATCGGGGAGCATGTTACGTAGGTTCGAATTTTGTTTTTAACCAATCAAATTGGAGATATCTACGAACAAGTATTCTAATGGCAAAAGGCACGCCAAATGAAAGATACAAGCAACAGTGGGATTTTAAAGTTTAAGCAGCACCGTTTGAGGCTGTGAGTCGAGACTTGAAAGGCTCTTTTCATGAATTAACCAATTTTTCTAAAAATATAAAAACCCAACTCTGTAAACAATTGATTAAATTATTGTTTTCAATTTCAAAGATAGCTGATTTGTTCTCAGTGTAGTTTTTTTCAGTCACAGCTCAAATTTTAAAGTAAAATTTTTCGACAGATTTTTCTACAACCTCAAATCTATCTATGTACTGAGCTCATTTTTTTCCAATCTTCTATCATTTTTTTATAGAAATATGGTGGTTTGAAAAATGGAAACATGCATTACGAGGCCAAACTGTGCATTTTCTGAAATGTAAGCGGATTCCGCAACAGGCAAAAATCAGATTTGTCCCGGAATCCACAAAATTGCTATTTTTCTTTGATCTTCTCTGCTATTTTGGATTCCACGGACAAATAGTTAAAACACTGTTTTGCTCAAAATTGCTCCAAAAACAGGCAAATTTGAGGAATCCGCAACAAAATGTGTGGAATCCGGAACAAGTTCGTCGAATCCATCAATAATTGAAAATATAAGTGTTTATTAAACTTAAACTGTCGCGGAATCCGCAATTGTAAGTGGAATCCGAAAATTGTAAGCGGAATCCGCAAATTGTAAGCTGATCCGCAAATTTTAAGCGGAATCCGCAAATTTTAGGTGGAATCCGCATAAATTTGAGGAATCCAATTAAATTTGCGGAATCCGGAACAACTACCTATATTTGCTCGTTGCGGAATCCGCAACAAAATCAATGTGCCGACATAAATTACGTTACAGGTATTTGTACGCGGAATCCACTGAAGATTTGTCTCTGGAATCCAGAAACATACAGACAAAAAACTGTGCGCCTATCCAGTGCACAGCTTGGCCTCGTAATGTGATTAATTGAAAATTTGAGTCGCCTTGACGCTTCGAAGTCGCATTTTTTTTTCGCGTTAGATTTTTCATGAGTAGCGTGGGTGGGGAACTAATAAAAGGGTTCATAAAGTAGCATAAAGATAAAAGTTGTGAATCCTAGTTAGTCTTCAAAATAAGATTACAAAATAATATTTAGTTTAAACGCGTTATGGGTCAAAAATGTGTCGCGAAGTTCTCAAAATTGCGAAGGAAGTCATTAACTTTCAGTTTCGAAATTTGATTTTATTTTTTAGATTTGACAGCGGAAAAAAAATTTATCGATTAAAAAGTGGATTTTAATTTTTAGATTTGACAGCGGAATAAAAATATTATCTATCAAAAAGTGTCACCCATAAAACGAAAATTAAAATGTTTTAGGTCTATAGGCTTTTGTTTTTAAATTAGATTTTTTTTCTCTATTTCGATGCGTTGATTGACTGTTTTCCAATTGTATGTTGGCTATGTTAAGAATTAGGAAAAGATCAAAATTAAATCATTACAACTAATCAATCCAAATAACGCGTTGCTGGACATACAGTTTACCAAATTAAGTAATCGTGTTTCCGAGATAGCGCCGAAATCTTTTAGTACCGAAATGAAAAAAGTAGTGAAGATTGCCGATAACTGTTTGGCTAAAAACGAGAAAAAAAGGAAAGATAAAAAACTGCAACTGAATAGATTAAAGCTGTATAAATTAAACTGCTGGAAAGAAAAAAAATCCATGTGTTGCTCTGCGTCTCCATTGATAAAACTGATTTTGTAATCTAAGTTAGCAGGCCGACGAGGTAAAGCAAAATAGGCCAA